CCTTGGTGTCAGGTACGTTTGGTCAGTCTGGTGTTTCGGAAGCGAAGTGCTGGAGTGGCGAGCGAGATGTCTTGAGTTCGGTTTGGGGAGTGTTCCGAGCTGCCATGGGCCAGCTCGGGTCATGGCTTTGTGAGGCTTAGGACCCGAGATAGTTCGGACTCCTTGCAGGGAGCTCGGGTTCTCAGTAGGGAGCTCGGGTTCTTAATAGGGAGCTCGAACTCCCAGTAGGGAGCTCGGACTCCTAGTAGGGAGCTCGGGTTCTTGGTAGGGAGCTCGGGCTCCTAGTAGAGAATCCGTTCTGGTGGAGTTCGGGCTCAGTAGTGAGCTTAGACTTCGTTACTTTCGGTGCTCGTTTTGGGCGCTCTGCTGCCTCGAATTGCTTGCTTTTGCCACGTATCGGGTGATTGCGAGATCGGGCCAAATTTCCCTTAGATACCATTGTTATTTCAAATGCAGGTATGAGAGGCTGTTTGTAGAAAACATTATCAAATTCTTGTTAAGAGGGAAAGGTACCCAAATCAACGGGTGGGGGGAATGTTGTTTATAAGGGAGTGGGGACAAATACATTTGAAGAATCATAAGTAATTTCTACATGTGATGTGACAATACATAACTCTCACCAATTTGTATTTGTATTGATCAACTCAAAAAAACTGTATGAAACACAACCTAAAATACAGGTTTGAACAGAACATTATAGGTAAATTGTGATGAATAGAGTAATAACTTTGCATATTTTTTGCAAGCAATTTAATCGAATATCTTGACAAGGGGTTTATTGGAGGGGAGCATGCATTTTAGCTACCGAGGCATGACAGTGACAGGCTAGGGAAGCAATCAAGACTCAAGAGTGAACAAACCAATGTTTAGTGCATACATACACAGCACATACATGTTAACCCTTGTGTGGTTCTACTCGTACACACTACACACCTTTGTTTTGTAGCTCATCCAAACTCCTCTGTTGAAGGTATCTAAAGGGGAACTTTTAGGCATTGTCAAAAGAGAGGGGAGGGGAGGGGAACTAGCATATTCATTCTAGCTGCATCTGTATCCCGTTGTAATTTAATTAATTTTCTTTCGGTTAATTTAGAAATGGATTCAACATAAAGCTAACACAAGTCAGTTCATCTTTCTTCCCTGCGTAAAAGGAAAAGAAAATAGATATTTATTTTTTTTTTTAAAAAGCTGTGTATAAAAAAAGAAAAAATAGATATTTGTAAAGGTGGGGACAATGGCTGGTCATTTGTTTTGAACTTTGAAGGGAGTAGGGCTTATCACATGACTAGAGAGAGAGAGGAGGTGTTGTTTGATTGGGTTAGTAGAGAGGAAATAGGTTTTCAACACCAATAGTATAGGAAATCCCGACTGGTAGCAGATATATTTCTCTGCTGTAAACACCTTTGTGTGTGTTAATTAACTGTATATCTTATCTGGACTTCTATAAACACCTTCCAGTCTTCCAGTACTAACCAACTTCTCATTTCCATTCCTATCAACCATGGCCGACATTCAGGGCTATGCCATTCGAATCCCTCTATCCCTCATCACCACAGTAGTTGTTAGATTCATCTTCAACAAGACAATCAGAACTAAACTTCCCTTTCCTCCAGGCCCATTAGCTTTGCCCATCATCCGAAGCCTACACTACATTGGCTCAATCCCTCACCGAAGCCTACGCTACGGCCCTTTGATCCACATTCTTCTCGGCTCCCTCCCTTGTATAGTAGTCTCCTCCCATGAGGCAACCAAACAAACAAGTGCTCAAGTCCCACGAGCTCACCTTTTCTTCTCGACCAGTGACTATTGCAGGACACTATCTAGCATATGAATCTGCTAACATTGTCACCGTTCCGTATGGACCCAACTGGAAGTTCATGAAAAAGCTCATGTCTGAGCTCCTAAGTGGTCAGGTTCTCAACCAATTCATTCCAGTAAAGAAGGAAGAGGTGCAACGCTTCATACTATCTATATTAAACAAGTCCCGTGTTGGTAAGGCTGTTGATGTTCGCCATGAAGTCATGAAGTTAACATACAACATAGTTTCAAGAATGTTAATGCAATAGGAGGAGCTCCAGAACAGAAGATCAGGCTGAGGAAACCATGGGGGTGGCGCAAGACGTAGCAGAGCTCGCCCATGGGTATAACATATCGGATTACGTTGGGCTTTGCAGGGATCTGGATTTACAAGGTCTAAGAAAAAGGATGAAAGACATACGTGAGCGGTTGGACAATAACAATATCATAGAAAAGATCATTATGGAGAATGAGGAAGCTAGGAGGTTGAAGAAGATGGGTGATGGAGGTGGTGTAAAGAATCTTCTTGATATAGTACTTGATATATCTGAAGATGAGGAAGCCGAGATAAGATTAACTGAAACGAACATCAAGGGATTCATTCTGGTAAGACAACAGTTTGATCTGTTAAAAGAAGATGAAATTAAATAAGGAGTAAAGGTCATTCTTTTTTTCTTTTTTTTATATGATATTTTCACGGGATTTATTTGCAGGGGGGACTGAAACATCTGCAGTGACAATTGAATACCCAGCCCTGTTGGAGAAAGAAAGAGAAAAGATGGACTTGGTAGTTGGAAAGAGTATATTGGTGGAAGAATCAGGCATCCCTCATCTTCCTTAACTCAAAGCAATTGTGAAGGAAACACTGAGGCTACACCCAGCTTTTCCTTTAGATCCAAGAAAATCGAATATAGACTGCAAAATCTGGGGATGTAACATTCCTGCAAAAACCTAGGTCTTTCTCAACTTCTGGGAGATCGGGAGAGACCCCAATTACTGGGCCAACCCATTCCAATTGCAACCACAACGATTTATGATTGAAGATGGCAGCAAAAAAAAAAATCGTCAGATACGTGTTAGGGGACAGAATTTTCAACTCCAGCCTTTTGGAAGCGGAAGGAGGATGTGTCCAGGAATCTCTCTTGCTTTACAAATGGAACAAACAGGTCTGGCAAGCATGGTTCAGTTTCTCGGGCGGAAACAGGTTAGAGATGAAATGCATACAAGAATAGACATGCAAGAGAAAGCTCCATTTAATCTCCAAACTGACTGATGTAGCACGATATCTGATCACTCCTAGCTGGAAGGGGCCACGCTCTTATCTGGCAACGGACAGCACCTAAGAAGGAGAAGATGAAAGATTCCCGAGAAACTCGCCCGGCGGGAATACTCCGATGCTTAAGTTAGAATTCAACGAAAAGCTTAGAGAGTAATGACGAGCTAAGAGTGGAGATGCACACTACTCGATTACCAAAAATTCAATTACCTTTTTCCTTGGGGGTTAGAACCCTTATATATTAATGTGCTGCCAAATCAGGTGTAACCACCTCTAATTCTCTACTACAGTCGTTATTCGTCAAGTTGATTTGATTGGCACAGATATCAATCGCAAGGTACAGTCCTATCACCTAAGAGATGTTATGCAGAACTGCCATTTACGACCACACCACCTAACGTGAGACGTGGGCGTAGTCATCTGGACCGGTAGGTGCTACGCCACCGGACAAGAGACGTGGGAGTAGTCTGACAAGCACAATCTTGTTAGATAAGTTTCCCGAAGGCTCCGGGTTACTCAGTAGCAAACTCCCTCATAGCGAGCTACGTTGCAACAAACCATTCTATAACGAGTTGTGGCGAACTGTCTCGTGGTGGGTTGTTCAACTAGAGTTTTAGTGAGCTCATAGCATGCCTGTAGACCTGTTCATGGGCCGGGTGGCTCGACGGGCCAGCCCGTCCCAACCCAGTCCCCGGACAGGCTTGAACAGGTATATAGGCCCGCAGGCTTAACCTCAGGCCAAAAAGCCCAGCCCGTAATAAATTCAAGCTGAGCTCAGAATTTGCCAAAATAACCCAACCCGAGCCCGGCCCAACCCAACCTATAAATAAACCTAAAACCCTAGTTGAATACCCCTCTTTTTTTCACCTCTTTCCCTTATTTTTCCAACCAAATTCTTTTTCTCCACATCCTCTTTCCCTTCTTTATATATATTTTTTAATATATATAAATTTTGAATTTATATATTTTTTTAATGTAAATAAATTCGGATTTATATTGATTATTGAATAAGAAAATTTTTTAGTTTATTTTATTAGGTCGAGCTTCAAACTTGGGCTCGGACTTCAAGCTTTTTATTAAGGCCGAGCTCGGGCCCAAGTTGTAAGCCTGTTGGTCGAGACAAGCTCAAACTCGGGGCTAACATATTTCTATTATGAAGAGTAAAAGCCCGGCCCGAACACAACCTGGCCCATGAACAGGTCTCCCTGAGCTATCAATTACGTCGAATCATATCCACTTTTTGGTGGGGGGAATCAAATACATTAGGACTAAGTTTTAATGTTTTAAGAGTTCTAGATTTTTAATTTTTATAGCGTTGGAAGGTAACACTTAGAAGTTTATTTAGAAACTGTAAGCTTTCAAAAATTAAGGATTTCAGAGTTAAGCAGTGTTCAAATCAACAACCAAATTTATCAAGGGTAATTTTAAAGTAGGAAAAGACTTGGCTATGAAAAAATAGCTTTGTAAGAAATCTACATCCCCCAATGCCAATTCCAACGATTAATGACGATCAAAACGTATAAATTGGACGAAAGAAGAGAAAAAGATTGATGAACCGCTACGCATAAATTGAGGGAAAACAGAAACGAAAGTTAATTTCAGGTTTAAAAATAACAGAGACAGTAAGCAGAATCTTTTCTATCCAACCCCACAACATTAAAATAATTTACATGACCATTCGTCGAACACCACAGGAGCGAAGCAAAAAGGAACAAAAGAAGAACAGGAACAGAAAGACAGAACAGAACTACATCTATCTTAGCTCTTCCTCACGCCCTCTCGCCGCGAATCCTGCGGGCAAGCTGGATATCCTTAGGCATAATGGTAACCCTCTTGGCATGAATAGCGCAAAGGTTGGTATCCTCAAAGAGTCCGACCAAGTAGGCTTCGGCGGCTTCCTGAAGAGCAGCGACAGCGCTGCTCTGGAAACGTAAATCGGTCTTGAAGTCCTGAGCAATCTCACGGACGAGACGCTGAAAAGGTAGCTTCCGAATCAAGAGCTCTGTGCTCTTCTGGTACTTCCTGATCTCACGAAGTGCCACGGTTCCAGGCCTAAACCTGTGTGGCTTCTTCACGCCTCCGGTGGCCGGTGCAGACTTTCGAGCTGCCTTGGTCGCCAGCTGCTTACGAGGAGCCTTCCCTCCCGTCGATTTCCTTGCCGTCTGCTTCGTTCGGGCCATATCTCTCGGCGACAGAAAGAAAGAAGAGATCGATAGATTTCTCAGAAAACGCAGAGTGAACCCAACCAAGCTCCACGCCTGAGACGGGATGCCTCGACGAGAATTTGTAGGAAACGATGAGATAACGCGGGAACTCGAAATTAGTTTTGGTTTTTTGAATGGTATTAGTGTATTACTGATCCCAAGCCGTTAGATGTGGAATGTTATTGACGGACAAAGATTCAAAACAACGAAGTGACAGGGATTGCGATCCATGTTTACCATAGTCATTCAGAGGAGCGATAAGTGATAAAATTCCAATTTTATCCAATGTGTTATAACATGTTGGGCCAGGCTTGGGATGGAGGCCCATGGATGGGATTGATGAACCTCCACAAGGATGATCAGCTCGAGTTCTTTAAAAAATTAATTTGTATATGTATGTAGATAGATACATTGGGAGTGGGTGGATCATCGATGTATGAGCATTTGATGACTAACCCGATTACTTTATTGTTAGGGTCGAATGCATCAGATTAGAGTTTCATCGGGTTGGGCTAATTGTTGCATCAACCCAACCTCATTCAGCTCAGGTTTCACCTTATCAAACTTTGGGTTTATGACGGGCCAGGCTCAAAATCAGCCCAATAACTAGCCTTGAACACGGGCTATTTGAATAGGCAGGTAAATTTTATGGCCCATTTGAAGTTTTGAACAGCAGGTACAGCGTTGATGAGAATTGAGAACCGATTTGCTAGTTGGAGGTTCAATGGAGTTTCTACATTTTCCTCTCGTCAATTGGGCACAGGTCCAATGTAAGGTCGGGCTAGAGCTTATATGGCCTGTGGGATTGAACAGATAGAAATCCAGTGAGTTCTCTTTCTGAACGCAATTTGGGTTGGGCACAGGATCCCTCCAATGACTCCTGGATCTGCCACTTGCAAATGTGTTCGTTTGTGATTGGAAATGTAACCCGTCCAAATGGCAGAATTTGGTAAGATCAATCTAGCTCTTCCTACCTGATGCTTCTACCCAAGCCCAACCAGACTTGGACACTCTGAGCCCCTAAGTCATCTCCCAGAATTGGCAATTGCAATAATAATTGTATTTGGTATCATTTATGCTTGTACTAGAGTTTGAGTTTGGAAGCAGCACAAACTGAGCCAAAAAGGCTTGGGGTTTATCAATACAATTTTTTGATAAAACAGGTTAATGGTGTCGTTGCCACTTCTTCATGAGATGTCAGACTTGATGTTTCAATTATAAATGTCAATACCGATCAAGTGCATACATTTTTTTTTAATGGAAGTGGGTATCTTATCTATGCGAGTATGCAACAATTAGGCTAGAGCATCCGGTTTATTTAGAAAAAAATCAAATCGGATAAACCAAAATTAAAAACAAAAAAAATCAAAATTTTCAGTTTGGTTTTGGCAATTTCGGTTAAAACCAAATTTCAGTAATATATATTATATATTATGAAACCTGATGAAGGATGATTTGACCCAACCTATGAAACGGTGACATGTAGACATTGATTCAACGTAAGTGACAGCTCAGCATTGTGGCCCAGTACAACCAAGTAACGGGCCAATAAAACAGCTCGCTACATCGTAGCACGCAAAAGAAGGAGCTCGCCATAACGCGAGCTCCGGATTCCCCGAGCTACCTCTAAAGGGATATTCTAAGGCAACTTTAACTTGCGAGCTAAGAAAACCAGCTCGCCCGAGCTCCCAAGCAGACAAGTCATTCCGATGACCAATTCTACTAAGGGTACTCCTGAAGTATTCCGAGCTCTCTGCAAAGTAGCTCGTGAATGGGCCGCACGAGCATTCCTCAGGAAGCTTCTATCTAACAGGCCGTACCAATCAGACTGCGCCACGTTCCTTACTAACGGCATAATCCCTGTCCCTTCGACAGTCTGCGCCCACGTCTCTTAGCAGGCGGAGGGGTGCTGATCACTTTGGAGATGTGTCACTCACCTAGGTGAGGAGTACGCCACAACGGCCACCTGCGCAGCCCTGACAGGTAACGGCTGTGACAGAGGCCCAATAGTGGTTATGCCGAATCTCACAAAAGCGCCCCTATAAAATCCCTCAGGGTAGAAAAAAACCTTCCTCTTGAGACCTCTAATCTCTCGAGTATACTGATAAAACACGACCTACACTCTTAGCCTTCGTTTTCCCTTTGCTTCCTGTACACCATACTAACTTAAGCATCGGAGTATTCCCACTGGGTAAAATCCCTAGTAATCCTTCTTTTCATCTTCTCAGGTGTCGTCCGTTGCCGACAAGGAGCCAGTCAGCAACCAACTAGGAGTAACCGGATTGCGCTACATCATTTTGCACCGTCTGTGGGAAACGCTTCAAAAGGCCTTTCTCTCTAAACTTTCTCAGTTCTTATCTTCCTAACAATCCAACGCTCATGGCTTCCTCTAGCAACGTAGGACAAAGCACGGAAATGGACAACTCCAGGGAACAACCCCAGCTTCCTACTGTTTGTATCGGACAGTTCGTCATCCCCCTCTCTGTGGACGGAATCCCCAGCTTGAATGTGCCTCTCACAGTGGCACCTGTCGTCACCCCACTCCCTGCTACAGTCGGAGCGAATTTCACCGAACCTTCGGTCGTGCCCCCAGCGGCCAGCTCAAACCAACTGGAGGACTTGATGCAGTGCATGCGGGCCATGCAGGCCCAAATGCAACAGTTTCAGCAACTTCAGCTCTATCAACAACATGTACTGCACCACGTCTCCTAGTATCAGTATCAGTATCAGTAGCAGTTCCCCCATCTGCCTCAACCTCAATGTCAGCAGCCGCAGTTCCCGCCTCGGCACCTAACCTCGCATCAAGCTAAGTCTCGCCGCCAAGACGAGCGCCCCTCAGGCCAAGGAGAGGTCTTCCAAAACCTCCCAAAAAACCAGGCCTCCCCTCGCAGCAAACGAGAGAGACCAGCTACCCTGATCTCACCGCGGGTGGACAAGTTGGGAGGACCCTAGCTCGCCAGGTCTATGTCACCTCGGCAGTCGTAGTTTGAAACCCCGCTCCTTGAGAACCGGTTCGAGGTCCTGGCAACAGATTCCAAGCAGGACCCCTCTGTCCGCAGCCATCACCACCAAACCGGGCTACTTCCGGCACAAACCATTTCAGACAGCGCAAAGGTGAGCAGCACGAACGTCGAGCCCACCAAGAAGCAGAGACGCCGCCACCGAGCTCGTCGATCTATCACCCGCGATTTGCTCGAGCTCATGGGCAAAGAAGAGGTAAGCTCGGCCGAAGTCAAAGCTCCCCTCCTCTCGGTTCCATCCCCCCTGTCTTCCGAACTCCTGGCAGTCCCGATGCCCAAAGACTTCAAGCTCCCCCCTCTTGACAAGTATGACAGGTCATTCGACCCGAATGACCACATAGATGCTTTTCAGTTACAGATGCACCTGGCGCGAGCTAGTGAGTCGTGCATGTGCGTGGCATTCTCCACCACTTTTAGGGGAGCAGCCCGCACGTGGTACCGGAACTTGGCACCCGGATCAATAAGAAGTTGGGCGCAGTTCGCACAAGCCTTCATATCCAACTTCGTCACCAGCAAACGGTGCCCGCAAACTGAAGAAAGCCTCCTCAACATAGCGCAAATAGAGGGAGAGTCCATCCGGGGCTATATCAAGCAGCTCAACGACACTTGTATGCAGATACCGCGCCTGGACCCCGTCGTACGCCTTGCAGCAGCCAAGAAGGGCATGACGCACAAAGAGTTCAAGTGGCACATGGTCGTCAACCAACCCGCGACCATAACCGAGTTTCCGAAGCTTGCGGACAAATTCATAGCCACCGAAGAGGAGATCAACCAGAAGGGCAAGGGCACACCCGAAAAAAGAAAGAGAGAAGGAGAGCCTTCTACTCAAGGGGACAGCCGAAGAAAAAAGGAAACAATTCGGGGGGCAAAGTCGGGTCAATTGTTCCGGGCTCCAATAGCGGACCGAGCTGATTACACCCCACTGAACACGAAGCGGGCCGAGATCCTAATGGCGATCAAGGATGCCCCGTACGTGAAGTTGGCCACCCCGTCTAAGGGGGAATCCCAATGAAAGAAATAAGTCTTTATTGCAGTTTTCACAAAGATCACGGTCATAGTACCGAGAGTAGTAAAAACCTCCGCGACGAGAAAGAGGAGCTCATCCGTCGCGGATATTTGAGAAAACTTTGTACAAAATAATAATAACAATAATAATAGAGCAGGTAGGCAAGGGGAGCACGGTAAAGATGCCCCCGAGTCTACCAGCAGGCCGGCCAAACAATCGCAGAGGCAGCCCCCAGAGGAGAGGCCAGTTCGGGGGACCATCTGCATTATAGTGGGAGGTTCGACCGTTGCGGGTTGTACTTCAGCGGCAGCTCGGACGTCGGTTCGTGAGGCCACCAAGGAGGAGTAGAACCCCCCAGAGCGGCCGAAACAGAAGAGTCGATTTTCTTCACAGAAGATGATGCGCGACGAGTCCACTACCCCCACGATGACGCGCTCGTGATAAAGCTAAGAATCAACGACTTCGAGGTCAGGCGCGTACTCGTGGACTCAGGCAGCTCAGCCGACATCCTTTTCAAAGCTGCATTTGACCAGCTTCAGTTGCAGAGAAGCAACCTGAAGCCTACAGACACCCCTTTAGTGGGTTTCAGCGGAGAAGAAGTCCGCCACCTTGGGAAAGTAGCAGTACCTGTAGAGATCGGCACATGGCTTTGTGTGGTCAGATTCGAACACAACTTCCTGGTGGTAGCGACCCCCTCCCCCTACAATGCCATAATAGGTCGACCGATCACCCAAGTCCTACGAGCGGTGGTCTCCACTTACCACTTGGCTATGAAGTTCCCAACAGACTTCGGTGTGGGAGTAGCGTGAAGCGACCAGCTCGAATCCCGCAAGTGCTATGTTGCCACCCTGAAGGGGAAAACCAAGGTGGTCGCCAACCTTGAACTGGAGCGACCCACGGAGCAAGGCGAAGAGCGAGCCGCGCCCCCAGAAGAAATAGTCGCGGTCCCGACCTTAGTAGCAGACTCGACTCGGACGCTTCAGATCGACGCTTCCATCCAGGAGCCCCTACGATCCGAACTAGTAAGCTTTTTACTTCAAAATTTAGACATTTTTGCA